CCTAATAGTTCTAACAAACCCTTCCGAAACTGGCGGTCTCTGTAAAAGTACAAGATAGGACTTGCTAAGGAGTTAAACAGCCCCACTGCCTCCGCAAAACGGAAAGACGAATTTGTTCCAAATGCTGGGTAAACTTTTCCCAAGGTACCAAGTCCGATCAAAGGCAAAAACGAGAAAATCAATGTAGCAGTTAGCATGCCAGTCGTCCTGGCGACTTTAGATTCGAGTTTCGCTTGCATCAGAGCGTCGACTTGGCTGATTTCGTTTATTTTACGTTTGCGTACTCCTAGGTACACCATGATGTAGAAGTAGGAAATGGCTATTAAACAAGCTAATGTCAGAAAACTTGCATTGACGTGCCTAATTTGCACGAGCTTGGAGTCCACTGGGACCACTGCCATTACAAAGACTGGAGCCTGCGTAAACACGGCTATAGACCAGGCGCCTATCGCGAGTTTTTGGAGGAGACCTTTTGTTACAATAACTTTGTAGCGCATGGTTTTTTGTATCGCCATGTACCTCTCCCAAGCAATCGCAGTTAATTGATAAAGAGAAGAGAAGCTAAGAAAAATCGTTAAGGGTTTGTTTACCGCTGACTCTAATGTACAGACATGCTGAAACGAAACCTGGCGGAGAATTAATGTTTCAACTGTGGCAGTTAATGGCATTGATATGACGCCCACAAGAAGATCCGCGACAGCCAGACTAGACAACAGAATATTGACCGGTTTTTGCAGATCTTTCCTTCGCTTGACTGCAACGATTATTAATGAATTCAAGAGGATAGTAACGGGTGAGGCGATAGATATAACGACCACTAAGATCCAAGGAAAAGTTGTATTTTTTAAGTCCCAGGTAAAGTGTGGTAGTTGCGGGCAAAAAAACACTGACCTGGTATTTGTAGAGGGATCAATGTCGGTTGTTTCTGGGTTATTGATAGTTGTATTAACATCCATGCTGCAATGGCCTCACCAAAAAAAAAACGAACTAGTTGGCTTCTGCGAAATTCAGTCGTTGATTTCCAACTGCTGCTTGCTTGTGAGCTTGTGTAACTGAAGATATACACACTTTTAACTGTTTTTATTGAAGGTTGCGCTTTTGTTCTTTACTTCAAAAGCGTAGACCAGTTGAAGATAAACCGCAGGAAAACTCTAATTGCTATACGCTCATTTCAAAGCAAACAGTTGTTGAGAGGAAATTTTTCACACGACAGTTACAAAGAAAGCAAAAGGTGGCAAATAAGAGGGGAACATGAGGCTTTGCGGTGTTGCGGTGTTGATCGTTTTTCTGATGCGGTGATGCGGTGAATTAAGTCCAACCTGGCGGTGTTGCGGTGATTTCAAACCCGATATGCTCATTTCAAAGCAAACAGTTGTTGCAGGGAAATTTTTCACAGGACAGTTACAAACAAAACAAAAGGTTGCAAATCACTAATGGGCTAATTGCATGTTTAAGTTTTTCGACCATAATAAGCAGAGCCATGAACATTAATATTAGACCGATTTGCTCTGGCTGATATTCAAGCAAATTAAATGTTTTGATTATTAGTATTTTCTTTCCTGAAAGGTACATGAATAGAATTAATATTTATATAAATAGATAAAACTGAAAACTTTTCCTCAATCGTGCGAACAGACACAACTGTTTTGAGAAATTTCGCAACTGTATTAACACACTACGGAGAATATCCGCAAAGCTTCCGCGCACTTGTATACTGTTTAAGATTAGCATATACGGCCGGTACAGTTCAACAATAGATTTCCCCAACCACCTGTTCGCAATGACGTCTGTCTTCATATTAAGTGTTTTTTGGCGGCTAGGGGTATTGTCCTTGCCGGACGAGCCAATGGCCTCGTTTTGGAACTGGAGTGCTTGACTCATTAGTGTTTAATTACGTTGCAACTCGCGCTAATGAACGATTATCGCCGAAGTATCTGCTTAATGAAGCTTTCAGCATTCCACGATCAATTTTTTTCTAGATTATACATATGGCGCGTTTGGTTCAAGTACTCGACAGTGGCTAACGATACATCGCAGGCCCGCAAATGATCCCGGCCTGCAAATGATCCCGGACAGTAAATGATCCCCAAATTGTACCGCAAATGATCCCAGGACCGTAAATGATCCCCAGATTGTACCGTAAATGATCCCCGGACCGGAAATGGTCGATGGAAATGTTTGGACTCAGAAATTTGGACAATGGATTTAAAATTTATATAGTCGATTTTTTTTTTTTCATTATTGTGAAACTCGGAAAACCGTGATCACTTTGATTTGATTCTGAAAGGTTAATTGTGTACTGAAGCGATCACAATAAAGTTCAGGACAAGCAAGAAAACCTCAAAACCACAACTAAACCGCTGCTGTTTGCGGTTTAGTTTTCTCTCGCTTAATTGGCTTTTTCCTTGCTACACACTAAGAGGAGACGGGGACATTGGGGGTTCTGAACACTGCAATACCATAAAAATAAAATCGACAAATATTGCAATATCTCAAAAAAAAAAAATCGCCAAATACCGCATTACTCCAATACCGAGTCGAAACACAATACCATACCAAAACCACTACTCTGTATGTTAAGTTTAGAGTAGATATACCAAATAAGAATTTGTTGATGAACGTTTAGTCAGGAAATTTTCAATTTACACAAAATAATCAAAATAAGCAACATCTATTGGCCCGTTGGCTAATGATTAACAAAACATAGCCTTACCCTTTTCTGATTGCGACATAAGGAATTACAGTTTTCCGTTGCCACGAAAGCCAAGTTTCATTGGGAATGTCATATCGGAAACTGGAAAAGGCTCAGAAAACGTTGGTGGGCTTGGAGGATATTTTCTGATATCGTCCAAAATGCTAAAAAAAAAAAAAAAAAAAAAACGCATAGTGCAAGTTCGGGGAATACCGCAATACCGCATTTCCAAATTAAATTTACCGAAATACCGCAAGAAAAATTGTCCAATACCGCAATACCGCAAATCCCAATGTCCCCCTCTATTAATAATTTCACGTTTCCATGAGTTTCACAGTAATAAATTATTTTGATACAACAGGTACAAAATATCCAGCATCACGAGATCCTGTGTTTGAAATTTCCAGTTTAGTGTTTTCCTTCCCTGAAATACTTTATTGGGAACGGGCCTGAGATGTATCTTAACACAGGATGTTCACTGTATCCTCAAATTTGGAGACAACTAAGAATTCCCAACTGGATTGACTACATTTTCGCGTAGCTTTCGGCACAGAGGAGATTATTGACAGTAAAAAAAAAAATTGCACGAACAAAAGTGATGTTGATCTGTACTCGTACGGCATGTAAATAAATCTATCTAAAGAACACTTCGGTAACTCGCAAGAAGAGATCTGATACTGGACACCTGTGCCTATAAAGGACGCAGGTAAAAGTGTACAGGGTAAAGTTACTGAGTTTCTAAAAGTCCTTTCCAATAATATTTCATTTCCAATTGTTAGTTTTGCCGTTGGAAAGGTCGACCTCTCGCGACATCTGCCTCTCGCTTCGCTTGAGGGCGGCGGATTAAGAGAAGCGATGACTAAGCGAAGGTCGACTTGTAATCTAGGAAAAGTTCTAAGCGGCTAATTAGATAGCGGAGGCATCTCCGAAGATTCATGTTTATTTTTGCGGTGCGTCGTTCGAGTTCCTAAACGAAAAATTTATACTGTCGACACGGTTAATTTTGTATTTTGCGCAAAATGTTTAACGTTTGTCATTGCTGCTTTTATGCTTGAGGTACTTGTCGTTTCTTCACCTGGGATAATTAAAAATATATATAGGTCCATCCATAGACTTTTCATGGAGTCCACGCCATTCCTAACTTTTTGCGGTGGAATCAGTTCCGGTCCTAAGATCATTTGCGGTACAATTTGGGGATCGTGTGCGGTCTGGGGGTCATTTGCGGACCAGGATCACTTGCGGGTCTGTACAGATCTAAAATAATTTAAGAGTTCAGTTTAGGTATTGGAAATCCATTGTTACTCAATGATTGGCATGAATTTTCATAACAACTCTAACACATCGCCTGATTTCAATTGCACAGTGATTATTTCCGAGTGACCTCTTGCCTTCATTTTAAAATGAAGCCTGATCCCAAACCCGAGCGTTTGATTCGTGTGAAGATAAGATGAGAGTGCTTTCGAAGTCTTTCCAAAAATGAAGCAGTTGTTCAACATTACGCTCGAAACTGAAAAATAGATGGATCAGAATTATTTCTCTAAAACATAGAGTATGAATTATGAACAGCGAGCGATTGACAATTGTTTTCAAAAATAAAATATTGATTATTACAAAGTCGGTTTTTTGAACACCAAACATAATTGAGTCCTAGAAACTGAACATGAAAAGCTGAAATTTGCATTCATTTAGTTTTAATTTTGACGGAACAGAAATCGATATGTGGGCACGGTATCCGCCATTTATCGTCAAGCTGAAAGAATCAAACTCTGGCGGAAAGTAGTGATAAATTTTGTTTTAAAAATCGCATGAAGTTGCCTTACGTCGTACAGTGCTATAGAGGCTTACGCCAAAGTTTGTCCTAAATGTGGTCCAGAAAATAGTCCACGACGCATTGCCGACTGATGATTTGGGGTTTCGGCTCCTTTGGTTTTAACACGCTTTCGATTTTTCGGCTTAGGAACACGGGTTGTAAACGTATTCCGACTTTGTTGCTAAGGGACTGAAGTTGCTGCCTCTTGCGGTCGGCAGATCTCAACTAGATCTCTGATTTTTTTAAACAGAATGGTGATGATAATGGCTTCATCGTTTTCACTACAATTCCCTTTTGACTCGCTGGATCTGCTGTCAATGGCTTGATTTTTGTTATTCTTCATTTGGATTTCTTCATAGCTTCTCCCAAGACATCGGGCACAGCTCTAAACTGGGTTTGAGGTAACCATCTTCAATTGCTGTTAGTTTCAAACTAATCGGTTGCTTTCTTCTTCGAGGGCATGTGGAAGACGAGTTGGGAGAAAAACAGCAAAATAATCATCAAACTCGCTATCTTTCCATAATTTTATTAAAGCAGCAAACACCTCCTTTGAAGTGAAATGACAGCGAAGACAAATTATAGTCAAGAAAATCTTATCTAAGACTGCGAAAACTAAATGCAACCTGAAGATGAAACTTAGGCCACTTAACGTTCAAACTAATCGCTAGATTACAGTAATACAACCAAAATTTAAACTTCGAACATGATTACAAAGTATCCTTCAAGGTCATAAAACAACGGCCTATTTTTGCATGTCAAATTTTCTTGTCTTACGGCAAAACTTGAAACAAGGAAAATCGAACAGACCAGGGAAATTTCTCCCACCACGGTACATTCTTATCATACACATTATACTGACCAAGTCATAAACTAGACAAACTAAGCGAGAAACTGAGAAGTCAATTCTAATTATATGGGCGCTAGCTAGAGAAAAGTGTTTCCGTTTTTTAATGACGGTGACCAATATTGTAAATATAGCCCCCCTGTGAAAAAAAAAATCTTGTATAGTAGAATTTCCCCATACTGACAATTCTGCAATAGGGATAGGCGATTTTAACTTTGATAATTAAGCGGCTTTATGGAACAATTACTACTGTTTAATAGTTGTTTATGATTCGAGAGGGAGTCGAGTTAAGCAGCATAAAAAACGGATCACTATACAGCCACAAGAACCCTCTGAAATGAAGTGATCGTCATTTCATACTGATAACTTTCTACAATATGGTCGGGTATTTTATACGGACACTTTCACCGGACACTTTAACCGTAAACCTAACAAAAAATCTTAGCGTCGACTGAAATTGTGAACCAATTTCAGGCTGGTTCAGTTACTAAACGTAAACCGTAAACCCAACAAAACATCTTAATGTCACCTGGAATTGTGAACCAATTCCATGCTGGTTAGGTTTCTACGATTATAAATGATTATACACCAAATAACTGGTCCCTCACTAAACATATGAAAACGAACCTATACAAAAATCTTAAAAGAATTCGTTTTCTTTCCGAGAGCGCCACCCGGGGAGCGCCAGGGAGAGGGCCAGGGGAGAGCCCCCTTAAATGTATTGTTGTTCTTCCGTCTCGCACCCGAGCTTTTCTGCGTGCTTTCTGAAAGGAAACGACTTCTAATTTAATGAAGCAGGCTAATCATTAAGTGTCATGCTATATAGC